TCCTGCCCGAGGGCAAGCTGTCTTCATAACACACGGTCTGATCCATCTCTCAACGCACTGCCCGGTTAATGACTAATGCAGACTGTCAGTGTGACCCATGCTCTCTTGGCAGCTAACCTGGCTGGGCCTTCCTCATCTTAGACTTGAATAACCAGATGCTTCTCTTCCTAGACAGGCAAGTCTTAATGATTTTACTCAGAATGCTTCTCTTATTCACCAGGGTCTGGGCCTTAGGTACCATCTTCTCTGTTCAATAATACTTTCTGTGATGATGGAAATGTTCTATAACTACGCCAGGTACTCTGGTAGGACCCTAGTTATCCATGGCTACTGAACAATGGAATATGACTTGCCTAACTGCAGGACTAAATTTCATAAAAATATGTTTTCTAGGGGCCGGCAAGTGGCAAGGTGGTTAAGGTGCTGGACTCCCACGTGGCTGACCGTAGTTTGAGTCTCGGACCTGGCAACTTGCTGTCTTATTTTCTTCTCTCTCTCATCAAATTAGAGAATAATAATAAATAAAATTAAATGATTCTTTTGAAAATACATTTTTAAAATATGTATTTTTTTAAACAGAGGATGCTGTGTACATTTGCCAGAGACAGACAGAGAGATAAAAGGAGAGAGAGAAGATACTCCTCGATAGGGCATGGCCATGCTACAAATCCTTTTTCCATTTCTCCATCCTGTCAGGATTTGGGGCACACGTGAACATGTACCTGACACATTTTGCAATCTGCCGGGGCCAGGATTTGAACCTCACAGTCAACTACGTGGGATCCATCTCCCTTAACCATTCAGTCACGGGCCCAGCCTAAAACAAAATGTTTAAATTTATTTAAATTTAAATAGCCACATAAATTTAAATGGCTACCATATTAGACCAGGGAAGTTTTAGATCATGGCATAAGCAAGAATCCATTCATGTGTCTATAGAGTTTCTCCTTCATGAGCACTGAGGGTGACAGAAGCGAGGGTGGCTGATCTTGTGAGAGCTAGGTTGAGATCTCAGCTCCTCTTTGCACCTCTGTGACCACCATGTAATTCACCCTTTCCATCCTTCAGTTTCCTCATCGGTAAATATGAGATGACAGTATCAACACCGTTAGATGTTTCATCATGACGACACGGGACATACATATCAGTCCAATGCCTAGAAGGCTGAAGTACTGAATCCACATAGCTGTGGTTGTCACTATTTTCACCTCCCCTTTCTTTTCCTAAATGCCTCTTGTCTTCTTTCCCCATGGTCACCCATAACTGGCTGAGAAGCCAAAGACAGACTTTTCTGCACTTCCTCTTCTTGAAAGAAGCCACCTACTTCGCTCCTAAACTCAGTGGAAGGGGCCAGATCTCCCCAAATGGGAGACTGCACACACCAACACTTACTAAAGCCCCTATGTGTCAGAGAATTCAGGAACAGAACTCTTCCAGATTACTTCCGGAATACGTTCAACCCCTCCGAGCCTGGGCAGATTATTTATCCGAGGAGCTTCATCGCTCAAGCCACTGCTCTCCTCCACTCAGCTACACTGACCCAAAGTGAATTAACTCACACCATCAGTAGCACTGACTTAGCGTTCCCTATGTGCCAAGCCTTGGGCTTGTGTTTCTCCAGGGAAATCTCACTGCCATCCCTCATGGCAGGAAACAATATTTCCACTGAAGCATTTAAAAACTGGAGTCCCTGGTCCAGGTCCCCTTGTTAAGGAGTGGCAAACTAAGAAGTGAACCTAGATCCAGTGTTCAGGTTCAACTTTGCTATTTCCCTGTAGCTTCAAGGACCCTGCCTGACACTCCCCATCTGCCTCTCTCCCCTGTCTTTGTAAGTATAAACTCTTGCTCCTTAATGTTCAGCTCGCGTTCCAATAGGGCTTTCAGGGTACAATCCATCCCAAGTCTTTGCACTTGGCCTTTGAGATATTCTAAAAAGCATAAAAAGGATAAATATGATTCAAGTCAGAACTGCAAAAGAGTAAGATGAAAGCTAAGCGAATATCAAGTTATCACAGTGTTTTGATCTTTTATTTTTTTTTAAAAAAAAAAAAGCATTTTTCTTCCAAAATTAAATAGGCCAAACCAAGAAACGTTCACTTTTGCTTTTCAATCGCTTCCAAATAGTTGGTGGAAAAGAGTTACATTCCTACTGGGTGTAATTCATAACTCTGACACAGCAAGGAAAACAGGTTTCCAACGCAATTCATAGAAAAAGCATTGGTTTGCTTGTGCCAACCCTTCTTGAGTCATAGTCTACCTAGAAATGACGACAAGATTTTGTGTCATTCGGCTTGCACGATTTTTTTTAAAGGAAATTTAATGAGCTGCCAACATTTTAAAAGCTGTAGTGACTTCACAGTAAAAAGGCCTGGATTTCCCTCTGTTTTGAGTAGAAAAATATAGCAACACAAAAGCACTTTCTACCTTGTGGTCAAGTGCGGCCTGTGGTGGATGTGGTTCTAGTTTGCCACAACCCACACCATTCCACGTTGCCTCATGTGTCATCCTCTATCCTCATTATCAGGCAGTTCAAGCTCCTAGAGGCAACATGTGTGTAGCCTCCTTACAAAAAGCTCTAGACAGACAGACGGCCTTGCTCAATCTGCCTCAGTCTTACAATTCCAGAACACTTTCCCTCTTCCCTGCCAAATGCCATTCCTGTAATGTCAGAGCCTCCTGGGAGGTTCTCTGTACCCTCCCTGCACTACGCACCATCCCACTCCAATGTCACCAAAACCACAGCTCACCTGCTACTCCGTGCCACTCCGTTCTCTCTTCACGGGTGTCACAGGCACGTCCCCGTTGACACTCTCAGTCCCACCAACGGACATCAAACTCCTCCGCTCCTTCTGGTTTGCCTTGTGCTCCACTTTTGTAACTCTAAACCTGAGGGGCAGAGAGATGATGTCACGGATTTTGCTTTTCTAGTACGCAAGAATTATGAACAAACAAACAAACAAAAAAATCACCCCTCAGAAGAATCCCAGACAAATTCAGCCAAACGTTAGGCCAACAATGAAAACAAGACATTCTATAGGAAGACATTCTGACCCAGCGAACCTCCCCACCTGGCCCAGACGTTTTCCTCTCCAACACCTCATAGACTTCGCTGGATATTGTATAGAGTGGGCAAAATGAATTAAAGACACAGGTACTCAAATATTAAACAGCCTCAGAGCCATAGTTTCTAACAATGACATGGGCTCTAATGTCAGCTGTGCTTTTTTTTATTAACCACGGAAGGCTCTAGGAAAAAAAAAAAGAAGAGCACGGTTGGTTTACAAATTAGACTGATGGAACCAAAGTGTTCATTACGGAACTACCGAAAGAAAATACACTACTGTCAGATGGTCCTATCTCAACACACCCGCATGCACACACACAGAGACAGAGAGAGAGTGCGTGAGAAGTGTTCCAATGACACATTTTTTAGGTTTTAGCTGGTGGTAGGGTTTCAGCACTTGTCTGTGTTTCAATGCCAAATTCAGGTTCATTTTCCTTAAAGATGAAGGAAAAAATTAAGGAAGTTTAAGGAAGTGATTTTCATTAAGAATTAAGGTAGAAGTTAAAGAAATTCAGTCTCTCTGACTCTTTTCTTAGTACAGCATCATCAATTTTCCAGAGTATTTCATAAAAGCTTCTTCCTGGGACAAGTAGATAGCATAATGATTATGTCACTGGACTCACACGCAGCCAACTGCGGTTCAAGTCCTAGACACAGCAGCTTAAAACATATGCCAGATATGTGTGTGTGTGTGTGTGTGTGTGTGTGTGTGTGTGTGTGTGTGAGAGCTGACCAAAATCCCAAGAGGAGAGTGGAGAAGAAGGGATTACGGCATGGCTATTCCCCGCAGGGAATGATTTTTCACTTTTTAATCTCTCTGTCTCTCTCTATCTCTGTGGCGAGTACACACACCCTATAGCAAAAATCTCTCAAAAAAAATTAATTAAAAAATAAATAAATAAAAATAAATAAATAAATAAATAAAAGCTTCTTTCTAGTTCTGATCTTAATTTCCCTTAAAACTATCTAAAATAAATTACCTTTCTTTGTTCAAAATGAGATCACCAGCTATGAAGAGGCAGAAGATTTGGAGGAAGTTAAAGAAAAAAAAAACAGGGAAAAGTGGACAACGATCTGTCCTGTCAAGCTGTTCTCTCGTAAGCAAGACATGCTAAAAAACAGCCCGTAAATAAATGCTCATAGTGTCCACTCGCCAAGAAAGAGAGCTGAGTTTGGGGCATTTCCAAAAGCCGTGTTGCATCTGAGTTGAAAATTTCCACAGATATGTTTTTCCCCCAAGAAAACAAAATGTGCTTTGTCCAAACAAGCTACAGGTCTCATCCCATTTGCATTCAGACATCCCATGACTGCTCCTTGCTACAGCAGTGTGGTCATGAGTTGTCCTGTTTTGCTCTGAGTGGCAAATGGGCCGGCAGTCCGCCATGGTGTTTGTGCAAGCCATGCTAAGACTCGACTCCACTAAAGAAAACATCAGAATGGCCAGCATTAGAGTGCATAATAAGTGCCCTAGACTGGTGACAGGAGTTACATGAGTCACCGTATTTAGTCTTCACAGTGACCCCGTGAGATGAGTGTAACTGACATCCCCACTGTAGACAGGAGGGAAACTGAGGCACACAAAGACGTGATAGTTTGTAAGAAGCAGTGCCAGAACTCAAGCAAGGTGGGTGCAATGCGTCGCGAGGACGCTTCCCAGACGTCTGTTGGTGAAGGAGGAAGGATAATAGGCATCACACAATCAAATGTTGCTCAGTGCTGACCCCGTCTGACCCCAGCAAGCGTGTTCTCAGCCATTACTCTAATCTGCTTTGCAAACGCAGCGTGAACCATGCAGTCCCTATATGAAACTTGTGATCCAAATAGCAGGAACTGCAAAAATCTTCACTGCAGAAACGCTGGACGGTGGGTCAGGTCTGTGGCATGGTGATTAAGGGGACTGGATCCCACACGGCCAATCATGCAGTTCGAGTCCCAGACCCAGAGGCTTGAGAAACATGCCAGGTGCATGTACCTGTGCCCAAAATCCCACAAGGAGAGAGACTGGAAGAGAAGGGATTGAAGCATGACCCCTCCCCAGGAAAGTTGCTTTCTCCTCTCTCGTTTCTGTGTCTCTCCCTCTCTCTCTAGTGAGCACACATGCCCTCTAGCAAACAATAATAATAATAATAATAAGGATATTCTTGATAGAAAGTCAGCTTCATTCATCACTTGAACTGCAAGATGGCCACACTGTGTATGAGCCACAGGTGAAAAGTACCCCAGGACTGAGAAACTCGGGACACAGTAGAGGGAACACTACAAGAAAGCAATCTCAGCAATGCACTGACGCTCATGAGGCAGAGATCAGAGAGCTGTGGACAGAGCCCTCTTCTCTTCTTCGGGACACACGGCTAGATGACATTTCCCACCCCCTGGCAGCTGGATGTGACTGAGTTCTAGCACTGAGACGTGAACTGAAATGACATGCACCACTCCCAGGCCTAGCTCATGAAATACCCCTTGTGAGCAATCCTCCAAGGACTTTCTTCTTCCACAAATCTGCCAGAGCCCTGGATCCAAGGGGCCAGGGGCTCTCAGTGACAACATGAAGAGCCACCCACTGATCCTTTGATCCTGTGCTGTAGAATTCCCACCAGTGAAATAGAAACTTCTATTCATAGGTAGTGAAGACCGCGGTCTTTATCTGTCACTGTGCGTAAGTAATTACAGGTCGAGCCTCCTCAATCCAAAACTCCAATCCAAAACCTGAAATGCCCTAAAATCTGAAACATTGGAGCACCAATGTGATACCACATGTGCAAAATTCTACACCTGGCCTGATGAAACAGGTTGCAGTCAAAATGCTGTCATAGAAAAATATTGGATGACATGGCCTTTCGGCTGTGTGTACAAGGTATGTATGACGCATGGACGAGTTTCACGTTCAGACTCGAATCCCATCCCCATGCTATCTCATTGCGTGTATAGAGACACTCCAAGATCTAAAACAATCCAAAACACTCCCAGTCCCAAGTATTTCAAATAGGAAGTACTCGACCCCTATTTACCTTAATTAAAATACCACCCATCAGCTCTAACAATAACTATCCTTTAGGATTCTTCAGTAGTTAAAAAAATCAGGGCTCACAGCTAGCAGATGACGTGGTGGTCGTTAAGGTACTGGACTTCCACATGGCAGAACCGCAATTTTGCTATTCTTTCTTTTTTTTTTGAAGAGGATTTTGCTATTGGGCGCGTGTGCTCGCCAGACAGACAGAGACAGAGAGACAGAAAGCGAGAAATCATCCCCGGGGGGGATGGCCACGCCGCAATCCCTTCTCCTCCATTCTCCTCTGGGGATCTTGGGCACGCACACACGCCCGGTGTGAGTTTAAGTCACCGGGTCCGGGACACGAACCGCGGTCGACTACGTGGGAGTCCAGCGACATAGCCATTATGCTAACTGCTGGTCCTAAGAACCACGATTTGAGTTCCGGACCTGATGGCTTTTTCCTCTCTCTCTCTTGTGAGCACATTTGCCTATAGCAAATTTTTCATAGATAATTTTTTAAAAAACATTTTTTAAAAAATCGGGGCTCAGACCAGAAAACACCAAAAAGACTCAAGAGGTAGGATGTGAGCCAGGCTTAGGAGAACATAGCCTACATTTAATGGGTCCATGTCATTCCACACACCACAACCGCCATGGCATATATAAACCCAGAGCATCTGAAGAGATCTTACCTGCCTACAGAAAGGACGGTGACCTCTCCTTGGCGCCTCGGTCGGCTTTCTTTGGACTTGTTGGTGGGTTTCGTGAAGTGCCATCGCTTGTGCCTACACCGATGACACACGTCCCTCTCGACAACACCGCCCACTGTGTGCAGATGGTGGCCACAGACGTGCTTTCCTGGGGTGCCCCCTGGTGACAAAGGCCCAGGACTCACAGGTGGGCTCCCCGGAGTGCTGGGAGTCACAGGACTAAGGTTAGAAGGGAAAAGAAAAGAGAAAATTGGTTACTTGAAGGAATAAATACCAGAGAAGGCCGTCTCTCTACCTGGGAGGCAAAAGCACATTTAAACAGAAAAAATAAAACGATTCCATCTTCCAACTGTAGAAAGACTCTGTGAACTGATCGTACACAGCAGGTAGTCGGCTCTCACGACCGTGTAATAATGGCTTATTTTAAACAGCAATAATGAGATGTATCGCTCTCGAATGGAATTCATTGGCTGGAAACGAGTGACTGCTTCTAACAACGATACGCTCTGTGAATTTCTTTCTTTCTCCCTTCAGAAACAATCATATCAATTTCTCACACGTAGCCAAGTGTCTTCCTAGAACCCTAAGCAAAGACATACCCAGAACATATGAAGACAGAGAAATGTCAGTTCCAAACGAAGTATCGGGTGATTTAAGACAGTCACAATGTTTTACCCCATCAAAGGAAGGAAACTTTCAGGTCAAGGTTATCAAAGGTAATGTCAAAGCAGGTAGCAGTAAGAAGAAAGAGCTAACATTTCATATTCTAAGCATCCTGTATGTTAATTCACTATGACACAGGTTCACTGCCTCATTTTAGAAATGAACACATTGGGGGTCAACAAGTGGTGAAGTACCCACATGGCCAACTGTGTTTCAAGTCTCAGCCCCAGTGAAAATCACACTGGGTGTGTTTGTGTGTGCGTGCCCAAAATCCCAGGAGGAGAATGGAGGGGAAATGGAGGGGAAGGGATTGTGGCATGGCCATCCGCCTTAGGAGGTGATTTCTCACTTTCCCTCTCACTATCTCTCTCTGCCTCTTTCCAGTGAGCACATGTGCCATTATGGCAAAAACCTAAAAAAAAAAAGTAAAAGAAAAAAATAAAGAAAGAAAAGAAAACATCACGGCTCAGAGAAATTAAGTCACCCAGCAAACAAGTGATGAATCTAAGAGCCAAACACAGAATATCTAATTCCAAACTCTACCCTCTTAACTGCCATACAGTGTACACAGTGCGTGACAAACAATGGAGACCTCCTTGATAATCTGAAAACAATCTGGTCAGACTACTGAAAATCTAAAAAGTGGAATAATATAGGCCAGATGTGGGTTATTCTCAAAAATAACATATCAACTCTCTGGCCCACTAGGAAAGGAAGAATTGGAACAGGACCAGGCCAGACGGATGACGAATCGGTTCTCTGGCGCATGTGGGTGTAGGTGTGGCAGCTTGTCACATAGAATCTGACACGGAGACTGTGGCAAGATCTCCATATACACACGGAAGGCTGGTGATGGCAGAAACCAGCCTTCAAGCTGCCGAAACCTGGGCCTTCTACACACTAGAGAAGTCCAGCCCAAGGCTGAGCAAGGACCCTCCAACGTTACAGACAGGCAGGTTTTCTGATGTTCTTCAAGGCTGTCCTTTAAATTATTAAAATAAAAATACAAAGCAGTACCTTCCCAGGGTGTGACTATGTGAAATTAACACATTTCGGGAACCAGCAGTTAGCGTACTGGCTATGTCGCTGGACTCCCACGTAGTCGACCACAGTTCGCGTCCTGGACCCGGTGGCTTAAAACTCACGCCGGGCGCGTGTGCGTGCGTGCCCAAGATCCCGAGAGGAGAATGGAGGAGAAGGGATTGCGGCGTGACCATCTCCCCTGGGGGGTGATTTCTCGCTTTCTGTCTCTCTCTGTCTGTCTGGTGAGCGCATGCACCCTATAGCAAAAAACCTCTCCAAAAAAAAAAAAAAAGAAAAGAAATTAACACATTTCAGAAGGCTGGATTGAAGAGTTAAAAAAACATTTATTCAACAAACACTTACCAAGCACTGGCGAGGTACAAAACCCCCAACAACAGGCACTACAAAAGCAACTGAGATGAAGTTACCGTGAGCCAACGTGGTCCTAACACCAGATGACTGGGGCAGGCTGGGATGGGGAGAAAGCATAGCCCGTATATCTCGGTGAACATCACCAGAGCTTCCTAAACTCTCCTTCCTGCCCAAGAGACCGCTCCAACTTGCACCAGTTTACAAGCCCAAATTACATTATCTATTATTATTACAACTCACACCAGTTAACAAGCACAAATTACATATTACATTACCTATTACATTTACAAGCACATAGTACATTGTCTGGCATGTGATGGGTACACCACCGGCACAGGAAGTGGAAAAAGACCCAACCTCCTTGCCTGTCACTCAGTCCCCATCTCCCTACTGTCCCTGGCACATCCTCTATCCACCCTAAACCCAATCATGAGAAGGCGTAGCCCACATCACATGTTCCAGGGTCTTTTCTCTTGGACTTTGCTTTGGCTTTGACCAGCCCCTGCCTCCTGTCTCCACCTCTTGCACACCTGGTGCAGACAGCACCTCTTCTGCAGACCTCCCTGACTTCCCACTGGCTCCATGGCCCCCCAGAGCCTCTGGTCTTCAACTCTCCTCCAGCAGTTTGGGGATCTTGATTCACAAAGAGCTCACACACATCTGCATCCCCTGACTAAGATCCCCCCATGGCAAGGGTCAGTGAATGCCCAACTCTAGCACAATGCCCAACACGCAGCAGGCATTCAATAAACACTCCTTGTGACAGAAATGAAAAATGAAACAGAAATACAGTTATCTGTAACTAATTACAAAGACTATGATGCTTGACAACCACCATCTGAAACATTGATACAAGAACAGAACTTAGCAGGTATCCTAAAAACCAGTATGGTTGTTCACTCAACCATCATCGCTCTTGGAGGTCTCTCAATGCAGTGAAGTTGGTATAATAGTTATCTCCATTTATAGGTAATAGGACCTGAGCTCAGAGTAGACAGTGAATTTGCCCAAGAACAGGAAGTCTTATATGGCAACACTAAGACTCAACCAAAGTCCCCCAATGACAAAGCTACATGCTTAACTTCTGTGCCTTGTTTCTTCTGATTATTATTCTCCAACACAATAGTTCTTAAATGGGGGGTGAAGAGGTTGCTTCCCAGGGAACATTGACAATGTGTGGACACATTTGGGTTGATGAATTTTGGAGAGTAGGGGTGGGGAAATTACTACTGACGTGACTGAGCAAAGACCAGGAAAACTGTCCAACATTGTACAGTGCACAGGACAGTTCCCCCGAGGAAAGAATGATCTGGCCTGAAATGTCAATAGTCCTCTCGAAGTCACATTTCAAATGTCACTACATGTGAGCCAATAATTGAAAAGATGTCCCATTAAATGGGAAAGCAGCACTCACCTTTCAGGATCATACACACTGTTATCAGCTACCATGGCCTTCAAAACATCAGCATTTGCTAAGGAATAAAAATAAAATTAAATAATTAAAATGTAACGAATACAACAAGTAATCATAGAATTACCACCTCAAAAAAGCTGTTGGAAGATACCCAATTCAATTCCATCAGTTAATAGAGCAAGTACAGGGGCCCTAGAGAAAAGAGGCTCAGGGAACCAGCAGGTGGTGTGGTGGTTGATGTGTTGGATGCATCCACATGGCTGACCATGGTTCAAGTCCCGGACCTGGCAGTTTGCTTTTTCACTTTCTCTCTTTCTCTCTCTGGGTCTCTCTCTGGTCAAACTAAAAATAAATGAATGAATAAAGCTATATAAATAAATCAATGTCTTTGGAAAACAAAGAAAAGAAGAGGCTCTTTCCCACACTAACTCCACACCACCACACCTCTGCCAGTAACATGCACCACGTAGGAATTCAGGATGAGTGACAGATCTAGCAAAGAGAGGGGATCTACTATGAAGCTTTGCTTCCTACTTAGCATTGGCAACAAACAGAATGTAGAAGAAACATTCCTCCCATCTTTCAGACCAAAGAGAAATCCACACACAGTACTTGCTCTGCTGCAGTTAGCTAATTTGGATAATTATGGTAGTAAACTGTGCATCTTAGGAACCTGTGTTCTAACAACTTGTATATTCCAAAACAGTTAGCTTTAAACTCTGAATTCCCATGAACTATCAAGTCTAACCCACATCAGATCAGGGATGAGAGAGGGTTCATTCTCCAGATGGGCCAAGTGGCTTAGCTCTGCTTCAGGATCATACAAGTCTTGGGACCAGCAGTTGGCATAATGGCTGTCGCTGAATTCCCATGTAGCTAACCATGGTTTGAGTCCTGGGCCCGGTGGCTTAAACTCACACTGAGTGTGTGTGCGTGTGTGCCCAAGATCCCAAGAGGAGAATGGAGGAGGAGGGATTGCGGCGTGGCCATCCTCCCTAGGGGGTGATTTCTCGCTTTCTGTCTCTCTGTCTCTCTGGCAAACACACGTACCCTATAGCAAAAACCTCTCCAAAAATAAAAAGTATCATACTAGCCTTTAACTCTCACTAGATGACTTAAAATTTCATGTTCACAACCCCTTAGTTATGTAATTTAGGCTGACTTAAATCTGACTTCTGCTGTTAATTTAAAAACAAACAAAACAAAACAAAAATCTCCAAATTTGTAGGTGGGAGTCTAGGTTGTCAACAAAAGCAAATTGAATTTCTGCTTCTGGGCCCTCCCATCCACTCTCACCCCCACACATGCCATGTTCCTTTTCATAAACTCTTGTACAACAGTCAGGGTCAGGCCCGCATGGACATAAAATGAAATGAATATTCAATTTCCTCTGCAATACTGAACTGGCAAGGTCAAAAGTTATCACTGACTCTGAAACTTTTCTGTTGATTTTCAAAGCACTGTTCTCATGACTAACCAGCCACCCCCCCCGAATCCTCTAGAGAGGAAAGAATAAAAATCACTGTTTACCATGCATCAAATTATTTATTATTTAACACCAACCTTTAACATTTACAGCTCAAATAACATCCACAGAGGAAGAAAAAACTCTGGTTCCAACACTGCTGCTGCTAAGAGTTAACAGCTGAAGGCTGACCCGGTGCTTGCCAAACTATTTTTCATTATTTGACATTTCTTACCTAATCACTCTCCCATGAATTTATAATAGTGTAGATGTACAAAGGTTCAAGATGTATATATAGGCTTTATATATATGAGAGTAAGTTATATATATTTATTTGTTTATTTATTTATTTATTTGGAACTCCATGTCAGCTTATTGATTAATCCATCCTCTAAGGAGTAAGTAGGGACCACAAAATCTTAATGAAAAAAAAGTATGAAATGTTACTTGAGTGAAAAACTTTGAAAATTCATACAGCTTTTTCTCTTTTAAAAAAAAAAAAAAAAAAGATTTTTTACCAGGGACCAGCAGTTAGCGTAACGGCTATGTTGCTGGACTCCCATGTAGTCGACCACAGTTCGCGTCCTGAACCCGGTGGCTTGAACTCACCCCAGGCCCGTGTGCGTTCATGCCCAAGATCCCGAGAGGAGAGTGGAGGAGAAGGCATTGCAGCGTGGCCATCCCTCCTGGGGGGGGATTTCTTGCTTTCTGTCTCTCTGTCTCTCTCTGTCTTTCTGGCTAGCGCATGCACCTTATAGCATAAACCTCTCCAAAAAAAGAAAGAAAGAAAGGAGTAAGGGGGAGGGCAGAGAGTGGAAACGTGGTATTAACTGATGAGAACCGAGCTTTTTCAACATTTAGACCAAAGGCCCAGGTCTATCAAGCATATTGCATGAATCATCACTGAGCCCAAAGGAAAGTCTTCTTCAAATTTTCACGAGAACTCAAAGCACGAGGACCCAGAGTCTGCGGGCGAGGCACCCCACACACCTCCGCAGTGACTCACGGCATGGCACCTTTTGGAGATTAGAACCAGTATTCAGAACAATGACCCTGGTTTATGTAATCAGGATTAGATTAATCTTCCATTTACAAAGATGAGGGATTGCAATACAAACCAAAGGGGAAAAACACCCTTAAAGTTCAACTTTTAAAAAGTTTTAACACTTAAGAAGAGATAACACAGACAGGCCAGCTCAGAGGTGCTATGGGAACTTGCTGCTCAAGCGAAGCTGGATCTATGCGGAAGATCATGGGTTCAGTTCCCCAGATGACCTGCACATGACCCGCACACATCCACGATCCTGGCTGGCAGAAAAGGCTAGAAAGGCTGGGGTGGGGGTTATGGGATAGTGTGGCACTTTGTTGAGGATGCTTATCTCTTTCTCTCTGTCTCTGTCTCTCATGCTCATGAAAGAAAGAAATAACTTTAAAAAAAAAAAAAAAGTTAAAAAAAAAAAAAAAGTTAAAAAAAAAAAAAAAAAAGAAGAGAGAGCAGCCAGCAGGTGACATAGCGGGTAAGGCACCAGCCTCCCACATGGCTGACCCCGGTTCAAGTCTCACACTGGGTAGCTCAAAAGTCACACCAGGTGGAAGTGCGTGCATGCCTAAAATCCCAAGAAGAGATGGTACTGACGCATGGCCAACCCCTCTGAGGGGTGATGTCTTGCAGTCTCTGTCTCTTTGGCAAGCACATGTGCCATAAAACAAAAAAATCTCTCAGGACAGATAACACAGGCAAGACAGAAAGCACAGTGGTGGCTGCCCGTGGGTGTGGGAGAGGGTGTGGAGAGTGGCTGCTTTAACCTGCGGGGTCTCAGAGGGCTGACGGAGACGTGCTGAACTGGGTCGTGGTGATGTCCGTGCAGCACTGGGGGGTACTTGCGGCCACGGAACTGTACACTGTAAAATGCTGGCAATAATACGCTTTGGGCTATGCGTGTTCTACCACAGTGTTTTACAATTCCAAAAGAGGAATAGCTAACAGTTGGGTGTTTGCTATACTGAGCGTTTATGCGAGCTATGTCACGGCAGTGCGTGAGGTGAATATTCTATCACGCTCATTTTACGGTAGGAAACTGAGGCTTCATCAAGTAACCCGACTTTCCTCAAACCACACACAACCCGAAAGCGGTGAGGCCGGGAGGTGTACTTCAGCTGTCAGCTCCAGGGCCGGCCCCCCTGCAACACTTAGACCGACTGAGGCTTAGAAAACTCATTTATAGGAGACTCATGGTGGGACCGCAGCTGGAAGCTGAGGTCGTAGGGAGCTTAGGTAAAAGCAACAAAAGTCCATATAGAGCCTGTCTCTTCGAAGCAGGTTTTGAATAAAACATGGACGTTGAATTGTGCGGGAACACTAAAATATGCATACCTTCATTTTTCATGATGTAGTGGACAATTTGTCCAACAGTGTCACTATTTTCATTTATGCTGTCATTCAATTCTGAAAGAGAAAAGAGGAGAGGAGAAGGGTTACTGTTGGTCACCAGCATCGAGTCAGTTAGGCATTCGGCCTTAGAGCCCAAGGTCTCACTGAGAAGTTTCAAGAAAGCTCAGGTGCTCACCCATTAGTGCCAAGATTCTAGGCTTTCTGCCTTCAGCCCGCCTTTTTTTTTTTAAAGAAGTATTTATTTAATTTTATTTATCCATTCATTCATTTTCATTTGACCAGAGAAAGACACAGAGCAAGAGGGAAAATGAGAAAGCGAGTCACCAGGTCTGGGACTTGAACCATGGTTGGCCATGTGGGAGTGTCCAGTGCCTTAACCACTATGCCACCTGCTGGCCCAGCCCCACACTTGATGCACCACATGTGTGACCTCCCTGGTACAAACAGCTCAAAAAGAATCAGCGTTGTCTATCAATCTCAGAGCACAATGTGGAAATGCATTTATATCAGTCCTTACAACGATCATTTCTCTCTCATCATTTCTTAAACCCTTAAGGAAAATGAGAGGAAGAAAGCTAATTAAAAGGAAGGGGGAAAAAAATCTACTTGGATTTTATTTTAACAGCAGACTTACTATGTAAATCTAGAGTATTAATTTATTTTTTAAATTGGATAATTATTCACTCATGTATATAAAACTCTCCTGTCCTTTCAAATACACTTCCAAATTACCGAAATATTTTTAAAGTTGTTTGCTATAGGGCGCGTGCGCTCGCCAGAAAGACAGAGAGAGACGAAGAGACAGAAAGCGAGAAAGCATTCCCCGGGGGGATGGCCAAGCTGTAATTCCTTCTCCTCCATTCTCCTCTCGGGATCTTGAGCACACACGCACACATGCCCGGCGTGAGTTTTAAGCCACTGAGTCCAGAACTCGAACTGGGGTCAACTACATGGGAGTCCAGTGACATAGCCATAACGCTAACTGCTAGTCCCCCAAATTACTGAAATTTGACTGCAGTTATTTCTCCTCTAACTCAGTTGACTTCGGGAAACTCTGTACCAACAAGCACACACATGGGTCTTTGAAAAAAATCAAACTCTGATACCTATCTGTATAATTTCTTTCAATCAGATGAAAAGGACGAGAGAGAGTTAAAACACTCCATCCTGGTTCACAAGAATAAATCAGGGTGTGCCATGTCTTACCTATTCACCTAGAAAAGAGCCTCCTCCACCCAGCAGTCTTTTTCCCTCCTGTATCAGTACACGTGTTTGGTTAGATAGCCAGGAAGGAGACTGCAACCCAACTGATAGAGTATTTATGCAAGGGGAGGGAGGAGGCTCCACTTTCTGTTGACAAACATTCAGCCTGGGTTTGCTCATAAAGTCACACATGACTCATCGTGCCCCCATGTCTTTCTCAGCCTCAAAGGTCAGTGGGGGAGGGAAAAACCAACAGTCAGGCAAGCTGGCACGGAATGAGGAACCTCCCCGAACCCGGCCATCCTGGTTTGCTCAAAGGGTGACCTACTCCAAATGTCACCTTTCTGCAAAAACTGCCCTTGAAGGGGCTGAAAGGGACACAAAGAGTAATCTACTACCAGTCAAAGCCCAAGTCGGGAAACCTCCCTAAAAGTTGCTTGGAAAGAAAGATTGGTGGAGCAAACAGGGTTTCATTGCCTGGGTTTGGCTAATGCTATCTAACAACTCCTGGGGAAGAGGAAAATGGGAAACACCCTGAAGTTAATACCAAGGCATGAGTTCTTGCCATGTTCTCACTGCACTATCACACAATCATTTACTTAACAACGTAAATTTCAGTGACAGGTTTACGATAGAACTTCCTGGGGACCAGCAGATGGTGTCATGGTTACGTGGCTGGACTCCCATGTAGTCGATTGTAGTTCAAGTCTCAGACCTGGCAGCTTGAAACTCACGCCTGGCCCATGTGTGTGCATGCCCAAAATCCTGAGAGAAGAATGGCCGAGAAGGGATTGTGGCATGGCCATCCCGCCTGGCGGTGATTTCATGATGTAGTGGATAATTTGCCCAACAGTGTCACTAATTTCTGTCTCTCTGTCTCTGGTGAATTCACATACACTGTAGCAAAAATCTCTACACACACACACACACACACACACACACACACACACAAAGAAAAAGAAAAAGACAGACCTTTCCCAGAAAAAGGGTGAGATCTATGTAATTTCCCCATCATTCTTATTAGAATCCAATTCAATAACAATAGTCAGTATTAACACTTACTGAATAGCCATATCTGATCATCACCAAATGCATCTTCTCTCTAAATGTTGGTCACCCTACTAGGTGGAGAATACTGTCCTCATTTAAATGAAATTAAAATGTCAATAAAGACCTGGTACGGTGTGCAGCAGTAACACAACACTCCACAATGCTGAGGTCTCTCTGCTAAGAGCCACTGGCCCTGACTGGCTGAGGCTGCAATGTATGGTGATGTGAAGACCCTATTGAGGTGGACCAACAGGTGGCGTAGTGGTTAGGGTGCTGGACACGCACATGGCCAACCACGGTTCGGGTCCTGGGCCTGGTGGCTTGCTTTCCCACTTTCCTTCTCTCTCTGTCTCTGTCTGGTTAAATGAAAATAAATGAATGAATAAATAAAATTAAATCATTCTTTTTAAAAAATGAGAAGATCCTATTGAGAATGTCTCTGCCTCTTTCTATCTCTCTCAGAAGAAAGAAAGAAAGAAACCATTCCTCAATGTCAATTAAATTAATGAGAAATAAATGCAAGTTAAGTTATACAGAGCAGAAACCCAGACGATCCACAGCACGTCCAAGGTCACGGGCAGGTGAGGTGAATGACCTGGAAGGGATTCGGTGAATGAGAGCTAGGTTTCACCTCTAGCTGTGGTTATTGCATAACCCACACTTACACTACCAGGCGTCGCCGGCAACTAAAATGGACCGTTTTGCCTCCTAGAGATGGTAAATACATGATTAAAAATCAGAAGAATCCAGGTCATTTACCTATCTTTTCAACCTTTTCCTCCTCGACGTCTTGCTCAGCTTCTGTGGTACAACGATAGCCTTTCTTCTTTAGCAGGTGGCAGATGAGGACGCCCAAGAGCCCCATGATGAAGAACACAGGGACGAGCGCGTATGCGATGTACTCAGGGTGTCTGTTGTTACCGTCAGTGGGCGACTGGGTCGTCTCTGTCTGGGAGTGCAACGCATGGCTGCCCCCATTGATAACAGAAAGAAAACAGCAGCTGCGTTAGCTAGCCCCTGGGATGTGCTCAGGTTAACGGTGCCCAGTCCCCAAACCACAGACCAGGCAGAGACTGGGGGGAGGGAGGGCCACGGTCAAAGGGGGGAAAGCCCTGGTTGGTCTAAAACAGTCTCAGTTCACCTCCTGTCCCTGCTGCTCATGAAGTCGCCCAACCTGGGCCATTCTTCTATAATCCCCTTGAAGTCAGCTTTTACTTCTTCATCTGTAACAGCACTTACAATAGGGAGTATGAATGAAGGTCCAGCACAGAATAAACACATAAACGTTAGGAGTCGTTACAGCATAGGACTTTGCGGTTAAGAGCACACTCTAGAGACTTGGGTTCAACTCCCAGTTCCACCAGTTAGCTGTGTGACAGTGGACAATGACAACATTGTAATGCTTCAGTTCCTCATGAAATGGGTATGTCGGGAGTACCTACCAACCCTCCTAGCATTGCGACAAAGATGAAACAAATTACTACGTGTAAAACACTTTGAGCCAGTTCCATGGCACAACAAATGCCGGACCCATTCTTTCTGTCTCTCTCTCAGAAGAAACAAGTAAGTAAAAATAAGTCTCTTTTTTTTTCTTTGAAGAGGTTTTTGTTACATGGCACGTGCACTCGCCAGACAGACAGAGAGAGAGACAGAGAGATAGAAAGCGAGAAATCACCCCCCGGGGGGATGGTCACGCCACAATCCCTTCTCCTCCATTCTCCTCTTGGGATCTTGGGCACGCACGCACATGCGCCCGGTGTGAGTTTTAAGCCACCGGATCCGGGATGCGAACTGCGGTCGACCACGTGGGAGTCCAGCGACATAGCCATTACGCTAACTGCTGGTTCCCAGTAAGTCTCTTCTTAATGGCAATTAAATTAATAAGCAATAAATCTAAGTTAATTATACATAAAAAACTCAGAACATACATAACTGGCCCAGGGTCATAGGGAAAGCGAGGTAGGCATCTGTGAGGCAAATGGCATCAAACCAAGCAAAATGAGCAAAGATCCTGATCCTCATGGAGTTTATGTTCTAGAAGGATTCAGTACTAACAGACCTACAGTTGAAGAAATATGGAAATGTGGGGATGAGATCAAGATTTTAGCCTGGGATGCAAACACGTAAATGGAACTGTATATTTGTTTATTCGCTCACTAACCCAAAAACCCATTTTCAGCATGCCCACCACATAACAAGCAGCAGGCTGGGAGCTGGGTATGGAGTGATTACCAGGTAAAGTGCCCCTGCCCTCTTGGTGCTTAGAGGGCAGTACATGGGTAGACCACGACAGGGAGTATCAGAAGTTCCCATTAAACAAGTCAGTCCATGGGTGGACTATGAGAAATGAATGCTATGGGGAGACCCAGGGCATGCTTGATGAGAAAACAACACAGGGCCCTATTCTACGACTTTAAGAATAGGGGAGCTCTATAGGGCCAGCAGGTGGCATGGTGATTGGGGTGCTGGACTCCCACATGGCCGACCATGGTTCGAGTCCCAAACCTGGCAGCTTGCTTTCTCACTTTCTCTCTCTCTGCTTCTTCTCATGTCTCTCATGAGTGTGTGTGCCCTGTAGCAAATCTTAAAAATAATAATGATGATAAAAAAAAATTTTTTTTAAATGATTCTTTAAAAAAAATAGGGAAGCTATGACAGGGGTTCTTTTGGAGAAAAGGATTTGCTTTTAGGCATGTCCGAGTATTACATGGACGTATATCAAAGGCGGCCTGATAGCCTGGTCTTCAGGAGTGCCATGTTGGCTCCAGAAGTAAGAAACAGAGAGCCTGGAGCGTACAGTCAGATGTGTACAATTTGGATAAGAGGAGAAGCAGACGGTGCAGAAAATCGGCAAAGTACCATGTCGTGGAAACATGAAGGATGAAGTATCAAACGAACGCAAGGCATGAAGTTGGAAATAAAATCTCAGCATCTGGAATACTCTGAAAATGATTCCAGAGCAATAAAATGAGCTTTCTTTTTTTTCTTTTTTCTTTTTTTTTTTGGAGAGGTTTTTGCGATAGGGCGCGTGTGCTCGCCAGACAGACAGAGACAGACAGAGAGACAGAAAGCGAGAAATCATCCCCCAGGGGGGATGGCCACGCCACAATCCCTTCTCCTCCATTCTCCTCTAGGGATCTTGGGCATGTACGCACATGCGCCCGGCTTGAGTTCAAGCTACCGGGTCCAGGACTCGAACAGCGGTCGACTACGTGGGAGTCCAGTGACATAGCCATTACACTAACTGCTGGTCCTAAAATGAGCTATCTATATCAGGGAGATTCACACACACTGCTTAAGAAACCCAGAAATGAAAAAGTTAGAGACCTTTGATTATAAACCTTCACCAGCCAGAGCATTTTGATCAGAGAAGAATCCATGTTGTTGTCATGACTCTAGTGGGGACACGCACCTGCTATGAAATGGCCCCGCTTCATCACGGCAGCACACGGTGTCACACAGAAGCTTGATTTGCAATCCAGACGCCGGGGAACAAAGAGCTACCTCACTTAAGACTGTAAAAGGTTGCATTCAGGCTTTTACCAGGCAACCTCTAGAATTTGGGATAGCATGATTCTTTTCTGTTTTCTCCTCCAAGAATGAATATCGTGTGTGTGTGTGTGTGTGTGTGTGTGTGTGTGTGTATAGTCCATGCATAAATATATGAAAATACGCCATATAAATTAGGGTTTAACCTCAAGCCTTACTTTCAATGAAAAACAGAAACATTTCCTTCCCTATGTTGGTTAGCAGGTTTTACTTATTAATTCCTTTTCTTTCTTATTGACAGAGGGCCCATGCACTCACCAAAGACAAAAAGAGAAACAGAAATACAGAGAAAGCACCCTCCAATGGGGCATAATCATGCCACAATCATTTTTCCTCTATTTCTCCATCCGGTCAGAATTTGGGGCATACAGACACACACATGCACCCAGGATGTTTTTCAAGCTGCCAGGGCCAGGATTCAAACCAGAGTGAACCATGTAGAATTCTTTTTTTTTTTTTTTTAAATTGTATTTGGTAGAGTGGGAGAGAGACAAATAGAGACAGAGAGGTAGGAAAAGTGATAAAGCACCCTCCAGGGGGGATGGCTACCCCACAATCCCTTCTCCATTCTCCTCTTGGGATTTTAGACAGGTACACACACACTTTAGGTGTGTTTTTCAAGCTGCCGGTCCAGGGCCTGAGCTGCACAGTCATCCGTGTGGGATATGTGGGATTCAGCAGCCTAACCTCCATGCCACTGTGTAGTCCCGGGTTGGTTCCTTATGCACAGGGCTTAACCACTACGCTACAAAACCAACCCTTTTCATTCCCTTTAATGACATGTACTCCATGTAACAGGAACTGAGGAGGCATTTTACTAAAACATTCTCTGTTTCATTCTGGAGGTAACAATAACCTCTCTCTGAGGGTATGGGAAGCAGATAAAAGCAGACGGGCTCAGAATCAGAGCCAAAAAGCTCCTCCTAAATCAGATGCTTGAGGATGTGCTTAATCATTAACATCTAGCAAACCCTTGCAAATACTACTTATTTATACTTTTGTGATTTATAAGCAAAGGTGAGTCACCTAATTTCACAGTTATTGTGCCATCCAAACACTGAAGAAGATACGAATCTAAGTTAGTGAAACACGTGAGTTAAAGAGAAATGCAACATTGACAGCACTGATAGTGAAACAGCTCAGAATGTCTGACCAAAACAACAACTTGTTCCCTTATGGGGCATGTCACCTGACCAAGTAATTGAACTATTGTGTACTGGTAAAACAAAAAGAATTCCTTTTCATCTTTTTTAGAATTAATTTTATTTACCTTTATTCACTTTTACTTTTTTTTTTTTTTTTAATTTGACTAGAGAGGTACAGAGTGAGAGAAAGAAAGAAAGTGAGAAAGCAAGCCACCAGACCCAGGACTCGAACCGTGGTTGGCCATGTGAGAGTCCAGTGGCCTTAACCACCATGCCACCTGCCAGCCCCGAAAAGGAAAAATTCTGAATGTTTCCTCTTCCAAACTTTTCTCCCAGGGGTCCTGGGAGAATCAGACCTACAAGCATTAACGAGGCCTACAAACATGAACAGAGCATTGATAACGGGGTGCTGCCTCCTGTCCTAGGCATGGTGATTTTAGGATGCATAGTAAGCCTTCTTATTCTTTTACTCTTTTCTTTTAGGAAATGTGACCCTTCTTTAACCAATTACTAATGTAATAATTTCAAACTCACTGATAACCTATAAGAACCTCTGTTTTAGGGAACCAGCAGTTAGCGTAATGGCTATGTCGCTGGACTCCCACGTAGTCGACCGTGGTTCGTGTCCCGGACCCGGTGGCTTAAAACTCACGCCGGGCGCGTGTGCATGTGTGCCCAAGATCCCGAGAGGAGAATGGAGGAGAAGGGATTGCGGCGTGACCATCCCCCCTGGGGGGTGATTTCTCGCTTTCTGTCTCTATGTCTCTCTCTGTCTGGCGAGCGCACGCGCCCTACAGTGAAAATCTCTCCAAAAAAAAAAAAAAGAACCTCTGTTTAAGATGTCCTACCTTTTTGGGCCAGACCAATGTAAAAGACTCCTTATGCTGATTGATAACTCTCTGGTCCTCAAAACTATATAAAAGGAACCACTGTATCTCAGCAACCAGAAAAACACACTTGTCTTACTCCAGGCTGATCATTCATATCTGTGCTTAGAAGTAAACTGCATTGGGGTCAGCAGGTGGTGTGGTGAATAAGGACGCTGGATTCCCACCTGGCCAACCATAGTTCGAGTCCTGGACCTGGTGGCTTGCTCACTTTCTCTCTCTCTCTCTCTCTCTCTCTCTCTCTCTCTTTCTCATCAAATAAAGAAAAAAAATAACAATAACAAAACAAGTGGAAATAAATAAATAAATAATTCTTTAAAAAAGTAAGTAAACTGCATTAATTATTATTTCTACAGAGTGGGTTAATTCTGTTGACAGCATTTAACTTCCTTGTAAAAAA